GTCCACGAGCTCGTCGGCTCGCAGGGGAAGGCCCGGGGCCAATCGCGGGTCGATAGCGCGTGGTCGGCGCCCCGCGACCGCGATCGCCCGCGGGGGGCCCTGCGCGATCCAGCGCTGCGCGTGCCCTGGGGGTGCGCCAGGTTGTGGTTTCGCACGTGGCAGCAGGAGCCTCGCATATGGCCTAGCATTGTTCGGGCGCGGTCGCCAGTGGCCCAGCATCTTCGGAGCGCTGATCAGACCCAGCGTTCGCAGCGCGCGCGTGGGCCCATGCTGGCGATGGCGAATCTTCTTTAGGATAATGGGTGGGATCCGCTCGCAGCTGCGACATGGGCCATGCCAACCACTGCGTTTGGCGAGATTGTAGAGTGGCGGTTTCCAAGCACAGCATGGACAGGCACTGTTGATGTCGATGCGCCGAATCACCTCATGCACGATCATCAGACGTGGATCTCAGCACACTTGCGAGAGGGTGCCAGTTGACGCGATAGTTGATCAGGAGCTGAGGTGGGCATGCATTTCTTCCATACGAAGCGCTTGTACAGGCGGTTACTGAATGTGCCGCAAGCTGGTCGCATGGCTGAAATACTCAGCATGGTCGCCGCAAGCGGGAATGGGCCGATAAACCGTCGCGCGGAGGCGGTTGGTGACAAAACCGTCAAGCTGGGGTTGTCTAACCGACGTCCTCGGTGCAAGTTGGAAAAGAAGATCTGCATCATCGTGGTTGGGGATGGAGTGAGAACGAGGGGTCGCCAGCTTTGCAACAGCCAGCTGGGTTGATCCCTCAGGCCTACGCAAGGCGCGCGGGTGAGCAATGCTCTTGGCTTCGCGGCTTGGTCCCGACCGCGTGGGTTCGAGTCACGGAGCCTCCTGGGCATGAGCAGTGGTATATTTCTCGTCATGCCGCCGAACAAGACAGCATCGTGTTCAGAAGTGGCACAGCTGCTGCACATCTATGAGTTCTTGCTGATGCCAGCGGGAGGCCAGATTCACCAGACACGCTGTGGTGAAGATCGTTTGCTTTGAACCGCTGACGATCACCCACGGTCGCTGGAAAATTGCAAAGTGCGCGACAGAACGTGCAACGTGGTGACATGTACGCGATGCTGGTGGCGGCGCGAGCTTCCGAAAGCATCGCGCACTTCGTCACTGACAATGCTATGGTGGCCGACGGCAATTACCAGCAGCGATACCGGAAACCAGTGACTCAGGATGCAGACCTGAAGCATCAGATCGGCAGCGCCCTGGGAGGCCGAATGCTAACGATTTTCGTAGTTTCGTGGGTGAGTTTTCACAGCGCGGGCGCCGACATGATCGCAGGACGTGCTCCTTGGTATCTGCTCGAGCGGAGAGAAGTGAAATACATCGTGTGGAAAAGCAAGCGCACCATATCAAATTACTGCTGGTGCGAACGATGCTTGAGTCGCTCGACGCCGAAACTGAAGTGGAGCAGGTAGCCAAAGAAGGGCGACCCAAGTAAACAGAGTCCATGCAGCCGCTTCCTCCGCTGACCCTTGCCCTGTCAGTGTGCCGTTTCCTCGCCACGAACCATATGAGTTGAAAACAGCGGGAGAAGGTGCCAGCACGGTTGTAATTCGGTCACCTCGGCCACTTGCAACGAATGGCTTGACAACGCGTGCTGGTATCCTGTATATATATATATATATATATATATATATATATATATATATACTAGAACCACGCGGCGCTTCGCGCGCTCAGGTTCTGCTAGGAGGCGAGCTTAGTCAACGAAAGTCGCAGGGGAAGGGGGCAGGGCAAAGAAGGCCAGAGAGCGCTGAAGGATACAAATACTGGAACCCTCTTGTGATTTTGTGGGGGGCCTCGTCCGGCCGCTCGCTGGGAGTTTGACGTAGCTTCTCGGGAGCCTCTGAACCTGTCGGGGGCCTCCTGGAAGCAGGTTCGAAGCATTTTTGGGGCCGATTTGGGGCTTTTCGGGGCCTCCTTTGGGCCTCTTGGGGGTCTCCTGGGGCCTCTTGAGGGGCCTCCTTGGGGCCTCCTGGCGGCCTCTTGGGGCGGAAGGCTCGAGCTTGCGGTTCGTGGTCCCCCTCTGGGCCCCCTCTTGGGCCCGTCTTGGGGCCCTCTTGGGCCATCTTGGGTCGCCTCCTGGGCCGTCTTGGGGCCCTCTTTGGGCTGTCCTGGGGGCCCTCTTGGAAGCTTCTGGGCCGTCTTGGGCGTCTTGAGGCCTCTTGGGCGCGTCTTGGACGCGTGAAAGCCCAAGATGCGAACATGCGAAAAAGTATACGTTTTCCCATAGGAATGGCACGATTTTTGCTTCTTGGACCTCTCTTGGGGTGCCTCTCGGAACGTCTTGGGCTGATTTTGGAAGCCTTTTGGCGCCTCTGGGCGGCGTTTTGGCGCCTCCTGGGATGTGTTGGGCCGGAAGCTCGGAATTCGAGAGTGGCTTTCTCCTTCTGGGACCCCTCTCGAAGTCGTCTTGGGGTTCTCTTGGGCCGTCTTGGGGCCGTCCTGAGCCACTCGTGCGCAGCCTTGGAGCGCTCCCGGAGGCCTCCTAGGCCGTCTTGGAGGCCTCTTGGGCCGTCTTGGACGCGGTGAAAGCCCAAGATGCGAACATGCGAAAAATATACGTTTTCCCATAGGAATGGCACGATTTTTGTTTCTTGGACCTCTCTTGGGGTGCCTCTCGGAACGTCTTGGGGTGCTTTTGGGAGCCTTTTGGCGCCTCTTGGCGGCATTTTGGCGCCTCCTGGAGCCTCTTGGGCCGGAAGCTCGGAATTCGAGGTTGGCTTTCTCCGTCTGGGACCCCTCTCGAACTCGTCTTGGGGCTCTCTTGGGCCGTCTTGGGGCCGTCCTGGGCCACTCGTGCGCAGCCTTGGAGCGCTCCCGGAGGCCTCCTAGGCCGTCTTGGAGGCCTCTTGGGCCGTCTTGGACGCGGTGAAAGCCCAAGATGCGAACATGCGAAACATATACGTTTTCCCATAGGAATGGCACGATTTTTGCTTCTTGGGCCTCTCTTGGGCTGCCTCTCGGAGCGTCTTGGAGGCTTCTGGGACCGTCTTGGTGTCATGACAGGCGTCTTGGAAGGCATCTGGAGCCATCGGAGCGCGTTCCGAAGCCGCCTGCGAACGATCTTGGACGGCGTCCGGCGGTCCGACGAGCCTCCGGGCCCCCCGGGGCCCACATTTGTGGTCGAGGTCCCGGCCCCGGGCCCCCGGACCCGGTGCGCCGTTTATATGTGTGTATATATATATATATATATATATATATATATATTATATATGGATGACCGGTTTGGGACGTCATCCGAGGGAAGCAATTACATACAGCATGGGGGTTGATCCTACGCGTCCCAGTTCGTGGGCACGCATAAGCTATGGTTATGCGCGGGCTGTGGCTTTCACACGAATGAAATGCCGAACGTGTCCCGGGGCTCCGGATTCGACGCGGCGCGGGTATTCCAATCGGATACAGTCCGATCGATGGCCCAAAGCTCTACGCAAGGCCGAGAAGCTCGCTCGCAAGTTTTCGTAGTTCGCAATCGACTCGCGTCGCGACTTTTCACACTCACTCACTCACTCACTCACTCCCTCCCTCACTTACGCACGCACGCATTCACTAACTCACCCACTCTCTTCACTCCACCCTCATCCTCCTCATACCTCCCCTGCTCCTCCTCCGCCTCCTCCTCCTCCCCCTCCTCCTCCTCATCCTGTTGCTCCTCCTTCTCCTCCTCCTCCTCCTCCTTCTCCTCCTCGTCCCCCTCCCCCGCTGTACGACTCCTTCACGTCCTCGTCGTCCTCCTACGCAAGTGCAGAAGGGCGAGGCCAAGATCGACCGCGACCTGGACACCCCTCATCATCATTTTCCCTTGTCCTCTCTCCTCCCCGCTCTCCGTCCCCATCCCCCTCCTCCATGCCCCTGTCATCACCCTACCCGTCCTCGGTGGTGAGCTGATCGGCGGCTGCCTGTCCTAAGTGGAGGGGAGTGCACTCGAGACCTGAGCGAAACCAAATTCCTCTGAGGAACTTCCGAGGCGGCACGGGGAACGTGCGCCCGAAAATTTCGCAGTGGGGGGCCACCATAAGAATTGAGTGCTCTGTGCCCGTGACGTATACACTTCAGGGCCATCCTGACACATGCTGCCTCGAAGAGCACACGCAACAACAAGACATTTTCGATTCGTCTTCCAAACTTACTCTCATGCGTGCTAGCCCCGTGCATCGAATTTCGACCGCGCTGGATTCAGAAAAAAATGAAAGCCAATGGAACCCCGAGGAATGATTGAGTGGTAGGTCGGAGAAGGACATGAGCACGAGGCCTAAGTTCGCGCCGCTGACGTCGAGCTGGCGGATGTAGTCGCACATTTCCGCAGGCGGCATCCGCAACTGGGGTGGGACGTTCTCAAGCAGGGGAGGACTTTGAGTTCGGGGAGGGCCTGTGCAACCACCCCCTGGGACCTTTCGGCACAATGGAGAATACCGGAAACACGCGAAACGCGCGCATTTACACTCATCGAAGCAGGCCGTGCTGCACCATCGCTGCTCGAATATAATCGGCACGCACGAAAATAATGTTGTTAGAAGAAACCGAAAAGCACGTCTGTCGTCCATTTTCCCACAAGCAACCAATGCACTGATGATGAATAGTGGAGCAGTTGTATCTGTTTTGGGTTTCATTGGGCCCGCAGGGCCACCCAGGGATTAGAAACTTCTGTGGGGCACTTGCTGGAAGACCAATTTCTGATTCGATACGCTTGCTGTGATTCACGTGGCGCGCCCGCACGGCAAGCAAGCTGGCCGAAACGCGTCGATTATAACTGTCCGAAGGGGTCGGGGCCCAGAGACGACAGCGCAGAAGAAAAACCTGAAAGCAGAGAGGTCACCGCCGCGCCCTGTACTGCAGAGCAGAGGGTAACGCGTACCAGTGTCTTGCGCGTGGCGTCAGAGCTGGCCGTTCCACCAGAAATCACGCATCCGTACCCAGCCTACGGGAGGAGGGGGGGAGGAGGACGAGGTTGGGTGCGGGTGACGGAGGAGAATGAGGAGAGTGGGGGAAAGATAACTGTGCGAAGGAAGAAACGAAGAAAAGAAACAAGGCGGAGAAACGGTGCCGGGGGCATGCTTGCAAAATTCGACGCGTGCCCCGCTGAATCGAACCAATTACAGACCGCACACGCGAGGGCTGGATCGGAGCGAACAACGTGCAAACGATGCTGTGTTTTTGCCATGCGTGCCCTCCTTCCTGCCGGCGGGGAAGGAATCGGCAGGGCCCAGCCAAGGAAACCGCACAACTCCGTATGAGGCCCAACAGGGGTGGGGGCGCAACCATCGTGGGTGGATGGGGGAGGAGGACTCGGTGGTCTGTGGGATTCTGTGACGACGGACCTCTGTCCTGAGTACCACCAGCCACAGCACGGAGAGAGAAGGCGTAAGCGGTCCGTTCGAAGACCGTGCTGTTTCCGCGGGGAGGGCAGGGCGGGGGGGTAGGCAGGACGAGACGGGGAGGAGCCTCGGGCCTGTCGCCGCGGAGCCCAGGGTCATGCCGCCGCGGGTCCCAACAGCAGCGGCGCAAGTTCTGGGCTGCGCCAGGGTGGGGGTGTAAGAGAAAAACTGCGCTGGCGGTGGGCTGGGATCGTTGTATGGGACTTCTGCTATCAGAAGGAACGCTGAACAAGGAACAAAGCCAGATTTTCAAATCCCGAAACGCCTGGGTGCACGAGGAGCTCTGAAGGAACAATCATGGCAATATCCAAGGAACAACGAGCCCCTTCCAGACCGAACGCGTTCCTTATCTTAGCGTGTTGGCTAGGTGCACATGGGGGGCCCTGGGCCCCTCGCACAGGCCACGGGGTCTGGCGAATGCACCGCGTTTAGGGTTGCGCAGAAGCGCACGATTAAGAAAATGCGGCCGCGGCATTTTCGCATTTCGCACTTCGCAATCATAGCAGCCTCCACGGCGCGCGCGCCGGCGACCCCCGGCGCCCGTTCCGCGGACGCTGCGGTTCAGAGCTGCCCGCGCGCAGGTTGGACTCATGCGGACGAGGAGGGACCGGCGGTGGTGTCACACGCCCCTTCCCCCAAGCTGGTTCCAGAGCGAGCAGGAGCAGGCTGCCCGCAAACAGCCGCTCTTCCCGCGGAGTCGGGAAGCACCGCCCGCCAGAGTTACGGGCTGCAACATTCACGCGGATGACTATCCCCGAACACCAGACGACGCCAAGGCACCTCGCCCCCCCGGCCAAAAAGCCAAGTGAAGCAACATGGCGACCCCACGGGCGACGAGCGGCCATCGGCCAGGCAGAGGAGGGCGGCACAGAGGACCAGGCACAACCTCCAATTGAAGGGGGAATTGAAAAAGGGCGGCCCCGAGGGTAATATTACAGCCAGGCGGAGGAACAAGTGACAACACTGCGGACGCCCTCGACGCGGGGCCTGGCCAAAGGAGGGGGAAAACAAGAAGGGGGAGGGGGGCGCAACAGGCCGTCCCCAGGCCGAGAGGCTCTGGACCGAGCTAAGCGCTCCGCATCACGCCTGTGCACTGCTGTACACCAAAACCGCGAGCCCGCGAGAGGGAGAGGCGGCACCCCCCGCGACTGGAAAAAGCAGACGGACCTCCCAGCGGTGGAGCGGCCACAACGGCACGCATCACGGCTGTGATGCGAGGGGAGCTGAAGACTCGGCGGGCCGCCCTCGCGGCAGTGGGAGAAAACCCACCACCCAACCAGAGGCCAATATCTCTTCTCTCTCGCTCGCCGACAACGGACAACGAGGTAGCCAAAGCAGGACAAAATCGGAGCATGGCTGCTGGACAGTACTTCTGGGCTCTACACGGCCGACCGTATCACGACTGTGAAGCAGATGCGCAGAGACCGAGGGACCCGCCCATGGCCGCATCACGACAGTGAAGAACGAGCCAGAGACAGCGCGGATGGGTCAGAGAACGCGGCGTGGCCAGCGAAGAGGGGGGGCAGAAAAGCGAGCACGGAAGAAAAGGGGAAGCAGCGTAGGGCCTGAGGGTCGAACCGACGATTGGAGGACACAATCAAGTAGGAGAGACGCCGCAAATGCTTCCGTAGCTCTTTCAACGCTTCGCTTTTCCAAGCGGAATTGCGGGCCGCGCCGCTAACCCGCCCCAAATTACATCCGCAGAGGCCTGCCGACGCCCACACCCTCCCACACCAGGGAGCCACGCTCCCCCCCCCGCCACAAAGCCAGGTGGAGCGACAAGACGACCCTGAGGGCAACGAATGGAACCATGCAGACGCCTAGGAGGACGGCCTAGCGGACCAGGCACAGCCTCAAAGGGCAGGGGGCCGTGAAACAAGCGACACTTCTGTGGACCCCCCCGCGAAGAAACCTGGCCAAAGGAGAGGGGGGGAGACACGCGAGAGGGGCGGGGGGCACAACGAGCAGCCCCACAGCCGAGAAGCATGGGATCAAACGAGAATTCCGCATCCCGATTGCGAAGCAGAGGGGCACAATGAAGCAGACACAAGAACGCGAGCGCAGGAAGGAACCTAAGAGAAGGGAAACACCCACTATTAGTATATAGCGGAGGGACCTCCCCGCGGGCCAGGCCAAAGCGGCGCGCATCACGAACTATGGGGAGCGTCACACCTGGCGAGGATGGCGGGCCGCCTGCGCGGCAGAGGGATCCCCCGCCACCTATCCCGAGGCGGAATAGGAGGAAGAGGAGGAGGTGGAGGAGGAGGAGAAGGAGGAAGAGGAGGAGGAGGAGGAGGAAAAGGAGGAACAGGAGGAGGAGGAGGAAGAAGAGGAGGAGGACGAGGAGAAGGAACACGGGGCACACCGACGAATGGCCTTATCTGCAACGACCACGTGCTGGATAAGCGTCCGTGAGCACCTGCTACCCCCGAACTAAAGCTGGAGCAGCAAATCAGGCGTGGGTTCCCCTAAAAAGAGCTCCTGGCGTGCCCAGTCGAGCACGGGGCAAGCACCTAGCGTGTGACGCACTGAAACCTTGCGGCGCCCACAGGCTCTGCAGCGGCGCAGGAGCATGGGGTGCGCAATGCCCCCCAAGACCGAAAGGGGGCCACTGACTCACCTTGACTTGCGATAGCTTTCTGAAGCAAGTCTTCGTTTGTATTCCTTCAGAAGCAAAGCCCTCGGCCAGCGTGGGACTGGAAACGCGACTCTCAACATGAAAATTACATTGCTTGTGGGAAACGGGTCCTAGACCCCGGGGCCTTCCCCAACACCAACTTTTCGTCCCGCATCGTTTTCTGAGGATCCAGGGGTTCCCGTGTCCTTCAGGACCCGTGCCCGTCATGGCGACAGCTCTTCATATTCAGGATGGCCTCATCGCTCCTATCAGGGTCTGCGGGAGCTATGTGCTCATCCGCTGGCTCCCTTGGGTGGCGCCAGGCGCCAAACGGTGAGACCCCCCTGCAGGAATGCGGTATTCTAGGCGTCTCCTGCCTCCTGCCTCTCGTCCTGCGTGTTGTTGGCTGGCACTTGTCTCTCATGTCCCGTCCCTTTCCTGCTGTCTACTACAGCCCTCGGCAAAACATGTTGCCGCGTCCCTTCAATGTCGCCACTGCTCGCCCCTTCAATGTGGCCCCCTTCAACGTCGAAACAGACCGAAACGCGGTCTGGGCCGTCGCGACTCGGAAGCTCCGCGATGAACGGCATTGGAGAGGGGGCGCCAACAAAGACTTCGCGCGCAATGTCACCCAACCCCAGAATATCAAATACCAGTAAGCTGCGCAACGCTAGCTTGAGAGATTAATTTTGTCGAGGGTAGTCGGTGTGTCCGCGGCCTCAACAGAAGCCCCTGGGCTGGGCCCACTCAGCCCCCGTGGCAGCTCATGGTTGCCCCAGGCCTGCCATAGGCCCTTGGGGATGATACTGTGTGGCCAAACCGTCCCGAGGTGAGTCCAGGATCGCCCCAAGGTGCTCCAAAGAGGGCCCCAAGAGCTCAAGACGGCCCAAGATGGTCTCAACGCGGCCCCAAGACGGTCCAAGAGGGCATCAACGACACCAGAAAGAAAACAAATCAGTGGATGGTTTGAAAATGTGGCAGGCACCAAAGCTGTTTTCCTGGATGTTCTTGACATGGGCCGCCAAGATCATCGAACGGTCGCCGTAAAACGCAACGTTTATTAGCTTGACTGTATGTTGCATGGTCGCATGGGCGTATGCCATAGTTGAGCGTATGTATTGACATGTGTACAACACAATTCCTTACGTGTGCATATCTGCATGCATTTCTGTATGAAGCAATCGGCCCGTGGTGTCCCGTGGTTGGATAGTGAAGCCGCCAGTGAGAGCAATCGTGAGTCTATAGTGAGATCGATACTTGGATCGAGAATGAGTTCGATGGTGATATGGATAATGAGACCGCGAGTGAGATCGATAGTGGGATCGAT